TGAAGAGGGGTGGAGGCCAGCCTGGAAAGAGTACTTAAGATAAGCCCTGAAGCCATAGAAGGAGGACGATGGAGCTTTGGAAGAAGACATCGGCTTTGTATCTTTGTTGATCTGCGGAATCCACTTTCTTCAACGAAGCTGCGAATCTCAAGCCTTGATCTCATTCGAATCTCAAGCCTTGATCTCATTCGTGGGAGGGTGGGAGGGAGAACGGCTCACTTGGAAGGCTACTTCACGTGAGGCTGCTCAGGCGGAAAAGGGACTTATCTATCTGCTTTTTACTTCTATGGGACTGCTTGCTTTCATTGAGCAAGTTTTAATTTGCAGCTTAAAATTAGTTTTTTGTATTCAATTCTTTCTTTTCAAGCAGTGAGTAAAGAGCCTCATTTTGGAAAGTATTTACTTGTTTCTTGAGCTGTTTTTGGCATTGCACACAACCAGTAACGGAAAGGACCCAGAGAGAGATGTACCAGCCCCGGGGGTGGTTGTCACAGCCTGTCACAAATTGTACGGGAACCAACCCGAGACAGTGGCCACATGCCGGATTTGGTTTCTTGTTGGAGCAATGGCAAAGTGATCTGACGGGAAATTTACAGCTGTCCCCATTGTCATGGTCAAATCACGTCCTGGTGACCCTGAGCTTCTCCTATTCCAACCGCCTCCGCTTGGTTCTGCCCTGCGCCTGATGGACCCGTCAGGGTTTCAGAGGGAGCTGGGGGGTATTCTCGTGGATCTGCTGCACGGTCCAGCGGAGGCCTTGGCAACTGCTTGGAATAGGGAGGCAGCTGGGGCCTTGGATAGGATCGCTCCTATGCCACCTCTCTTGCCACATCAGCCCCGACACTCCCCGTGGTTTACGGAGGAGTTGAGGGTGCTGAAGAGGGTCAAGAGATGTCTAGAGCACTGCTGGAGGAAGACAAAGACCGAATCCGACCGAACACAGTTTAGAGCCGCTATCAAGGCCTACATTGTGGCGATAAGAGTGGCGAAATGCCAATAGTTCTCCGCCCTTATTGCATCCTCAGAGTGCCGCCCGGCGGCCGTGGTGGGGATCACTAGATCCCTCCTTGGTAAGGGGGATCTGGGGATTCATTTGCAGGGCCGCATGGAGGAATTTTCAGAGCATCTGCAGGATAAAATCGCTTGGATTCGTTCCAAGTTAGACTCCGAGCGTGGCGCAGGGTCTCGGGAGATACCATAGGATTGTTCTTGCCCAGTTATCTGGGAACGGTTTGATCCTGTTGTTCCTGAGGAAGTGGACAGGATCCTCTGGACTGTGAAGGCTACCGCTTGTAATCTGGACCCATGCCCCTCCTGGCTGATGAAAGCAGCTCAGGAGGTGACGTACGGTTGTATCCAGGCGAGAGTTAATACATCCTTGTGGGAGGGAGTGTTTCCAGCTGCCTTTAAAGAGGCGTTGGTACACCCCCTCCTCCAGAAACCCTCCCTGGATCCTACCGTATTGGACAATTTCCGTCCAGTCTCCCACCTCCCCTTTTGGGGGAAGGTAGTTGAGAAAGTGGTGGCATCACAGCTCCCAAGGGTTCTGGAGGAAACGGCTTATCTGGACCCCTCCCAGTCAGGTTTCAGGCCTGGTGATGGAACAGAAACAGCATTGGTCACATTTATGGATGACCTCTGGCGGGAGCGGGATGGTGGAAGTGCAATCATCCTTGCTCTCCTTGATCTCTCAGCGGCTTTCGATACCGTCGACCACGGTATCCCGTTGGGACGACTCAGGGAATTGGGGGTGGGCAGCACAGTCTTGTGCTGGTTCACCTTCTTTCTGCAGGGCCGATCCCAATAAGTGGTGATAGGGGGAGAGAGGTCCCATCCTCGGCCCCTCCTTTGTGGGTTGCTGTAGGGTTCAGTTCTCTCTCTGCTCCTTTTCAACATCTACATGAAACTGCTGGGTGAGATCATACGTCATCATGGGATGAGGTATTATCAGTATGCTGATGATACTCAATTATACATCTCCATCCCAGGTGAAGTAAGTGTTGCCGTGACCGCCCTTTCGCAGTGCCTGGAGGCTGTGAGGGTCTGGATGGAGAACAACAGGCTTCAGCTGAACCCTGGTAAGACAGAGTGGCTGTGGGTTAATGGCTCCTCTGTATCTGAGACTTTGTCATCGTTGGTGCTGGATTGAGTAGCACTGTCCCAGACAGACCCAGTGTGTAATCTGGGGGTCCTCCTGGACTCATGACTCCTGCGCGTAGAGAGGTGGTAGCCATGGCCAACAGGGCTTTTGCACAACTTCGGGTTGTGCACCAGTTACACCCTTTCCTGGATCGGGATGCCCTTCGGTCACTCATGCCCTTCTTATCTCCCAGATAGATTACTGCAATACGCTCTACATGGGGTTACCCTTGAAGAGTATCCGGAAGCGTCAGCTGGTCCAGAATTCAGCTGCACA